AAAGAAACAGGATCAGATAAAGTGCCAGTAGAAGTATGAAAAATATTAGGCGGTATTGGCATAATGTAGTTAAAGAATTTTTTTAATTAAATTCTCTACTAACAGATAAATAATGAAAATAATAAATAATGATAATATAATAATCAAAATAATGAAGAAATAATATTGTGGTGCCGATATTGAAAGGCAAAGAAGATGACATACAGGAGTGTAGAAATTATAGAGACATAAAGCTTGCGTTCATAGTATGAAGATTTTGAAAAAAGTAATTGACAAAAGAATAAGAGGAGAAACATCAGTAACAAAGATCCAGTTTGGTTTTTTGCCTGGAGAGTAATCGAAAATAGGGAAAAAGTTGACCAATGACTTGAGATGTGGAGAGTAGCTCTTTTTGTATAATCTTTAAAGAAGATTCTTTAGCCATCACTGCTACAAATTACAGTATAAACACATTACAGTTTAGCAAATCGCCATTAAATTGTAGATGTTTAATCTATGGCAAACGAGAGTATGACATGTTCGTCCATTTGATGAAACTGGAATAGATAATTTTATTTTTAATAATACTGTGAGTGTTAGTATTCTCATTAATTACATATCGTAATTTTCCAATAATCTTATTTATTAAATTTTATTTTATCAATTTGATTGTATATAACTTGGTTATATGTAAAAATGTTTAACAATAATTTTTCTAAAAAAATAAATTTTATTTATTTTTAATAATATAATATATTTAAACATATTTTTAGGTATAAAACAAAAGTTCAAAAATTATTTCTTAAATGTAACGAAATAGAACACATAATTTTTATTTTTAAAATGCAAATTAATTTATGGCTTTGTAAAATATGATTGAAAACAAGAGATTTTACAAATATAACTCTAAGGTAATATTACAATTTTAGTAATGTCACAGTATTCATTTCCTCGTTTGAACGATAGATATTAAATCTTACAGAGCGACGTGAATATCTTATAAATGAATGAACTATTTTTGATTTTGTTTCATTGAATAAAAGATTTAAATGTTTTATATACAAGAACATTCTTATAAAATTAGTATTCCACCCAATTCGGTTATAGATAGCATGTTGATCAAGTAATTTATCACTCAAATCATTTAATTCCACTCCACATTTTACATAAAGGTCATTATGGAGCTTTAAACTTGATAAGTACTCTTGATCAGAGATATTCTCATATAAAAATTTGAAAGATTTTGGTTTAATTTTATTCATTAAACTTTCAATTTTACTAATTTTTAAAAAAATTGAATTATTTAACATATTTTCAGTAAGTTGTCCAGCTTCAAACGAATTCAAGATTGTCTCATAAGTGTAACTATCACTTACCATTTTATCAAACAAATAAACTTTATCTATAGAAGTTTCTAAAAATACTTTGTAACAGTGTGCGAAAATATAATTTTCGTCTTCCTTACGTAATAATTCTAGATACATTACATATTTTTTCATCAAGTGAAATAAAACAGTTTTAAAAATATTCAATAATTTTTCTTGATATTTACCAATTTGTTTAATCCACAGATCAAACCAATAATAATTTGTTGCATCTATGTATTCTTGAAAAATGTCTTTGTATATCGCTTCGAAATTTTCTTCACTTTGTTCACCAAAGTCCATTAAAATGATTTTCAATAATTCTTTTTTTTCTATTATGTCGCAACGATAAATATTTTTTAGGGATACCAAGTTGTATTCTTCATTGTCTAATAAAAATTTATTAGTTTCTTTTCTTTGATTCATTACAGATATAATATTATCTATGTTTATATTATATTCCTTTAAATTATTCAAAGTGCTCATATCGACTGAGTATTTATTTTTTTGGCGACAATATTTTTCACTAGATTGAGTCAATTCATAAACTAATTTTTCATACACTGGCATTATATTTTTATTGGGTAGATTGTTTTTTCTGTGCAACTCAAAGTAATATATATACATGTGAATGCCCCAAAGAGGCATATCATAGAAATATTTACAAACCTTAATTACAGTAACTAACATATGACTAGTGACTGATGGACTTAGATTAACTTCCTCTTTTGTTGAATGAATTTTAATAGATTTTAAATTCACGTAATGTAATATATTATAAACATTACCACAAAATAAATCCGTATGTATTATATCTGATGCGTAATTACCAATAATTTTTTTAGTTTCTGTTGTTGTCAAAATTTTTTGCATGCGATCATCTTCGCTTAATTTACATAATTCTTTATAATCGGGGTAATCAAATCCGGTATCAAGTTTCAATGCTTTTTCTAAATTTAAATTAATCAAGGAAAATTCCCTGATCATACAATTAGATTGCTGTAGTCCGTTATATATCAATAAAGTTATCATTAATATGCCAAATTGGTTAAAAATCATTTTTCAACTCGTCGAATTGTTGATACTTAATTAGCTCTGAATTTCAAAATAAGATTTAATTGATTTACATTAATTTATAAGCTTCAAAAATTATTTTTAGACGAGTTATTTAAATCATTTATATATAAAAAAAAAATTCAAGTGAACTATAAAATTATATAAAAACATATGTACATGTTTTTATATCATTTTTTATAGCTTAGAAATTTATAATAATATATGATAAATTATTCACTGTTTGAACAATTTTAAATTATAGTATTTTTGAGCTTATTTCTAAATATGTAAAGTACTTAGATAACCTGTTAATCTATTTAATAAAGATGCGTACTTTTCATGTTTTTTAACAACAATTTTAGATATGAAATACTTTTAAAAAATTATAAATGTTCATAGTGTTAAACATATGTGATAATTTGTTTATTTAGTCAGATCAGTTTATATCAGTTATTATAAAATCATATTATATCAACTGTTCGGTGACGCTCCCTGCGTGAGGTCGTTGGACGGTGGTATGGTGTAAAAATACATATACTTATCAATGAATTTAGTGCATAATATTTGAGTTTAATTTATTGAAATTATCTACTACGAGTGGTGTTTAACAATAGTATCCACAAATTACAAATATGTAGTCGGTATAGCGTGTAAACTCATTTACCGTTATTCGTTATTATTACTCTTTTTATAACTATCATCATTAAACCAATTATCATAAAATTGATATTTTAAAATGACATTACTATAGAATAAATAGAAGTCAAATAGAAGAAGATTATGGGAATAGATCCATTAACATGTTCATTTTGACATTTTTTGAAAATGTATAAATTTAAATATGATGATTCAACTTAAAACTTATTGATCATAATTAATATAAAAAACCCAGCACAGGGAGGTCGCGGCACAGTGGTGACGTGGCATAGTTGGGACAATTATAATGATATCTGACAGTGATCAAAATCACTATCATAAAAAACGATTTGATGTAAATCTTTAGATTGTGTTTAATTTTAAAAAATTGGTGTATTATTCCAAAGCTACATGATCTCCTATTTCCTTATTTATATCCTGATTAAGATAAAGTATGTCGAATAAAAGATGTATATAAATACTCTTCTTATGAAAAAATTGTATTGATCCATACATTTTTCATAAAGTTATAGCATAATAAAGTTAAAAATATTAAATCGAGAATTTTCACAAAAATAGCATTCGGTAGCCATATTCACCGTGAAGACAAAATAAATTCAGAAATTTTTTTTTTCATGATAAAGTATATTACATAAGCTTTAATTTAAGGTATATATAAGAGTGTCAGACTTTCCGGAACACTTTCAAAAGTTAATTTTTTGTAAAATGTTGTCATTTTGAATCTCTCTTGTAGACAGGTAAAGGATCAGATATATAAAAAAAATATACCAAATGAAAGGTAAAGACATCATGCATCTATGAAAAAAAATTTATATTGATTTGGTCATTTTTAAAAAGTTATGGCAATTTAAAAAAAAATTTCGAAAATTTGCGATTTTTAAATTTGTAATTTTTTTGTAGATTCCCATTTACGGGGAACGAGGAAATTTTTTTCAATTTTCGAGGGTAATGTCTTTGACTAAATACGATTTGTGATCTTTTGACGTATTATTGAAAGAAATCGGTTTGGTGAAAGCTCAGAAAAAGTGACAACAGACACAATAAAAAACACATCATGGTAAAATTAATTCTTAGCTTTGCATTGAAGCTAAAAATTAATCTTACAAATTTTAAGAAAAAATGTTAAGTTTTGATTATTAATCACATCTGGGTAAATTTAATATAGTATTTAAATAAGTTGAAGGTTTGTAATATAATAAGAAAGATGGCTCAATAAGAAAAAAATTATCTATACATATCCTATTATCTTCAGTAATACCTTGATATGTATTATGAATACACGTATATCATAGAATTACTTGTGTTTATTATAGTTAACATTACAAAACGTGTCTCAATTTTTCTGAAGTCATTCAGAAGAAAGAAAATAAAAGATTATTTTTGTATATTTAACAATAGAAATATGTCTTTTAATACCCAATTATTTTACGAGACTTATTATTTCAAAAACGCTTAGATATATGTTATGTATAATGATAAATATTGTCCTACATGCCCCTTATCACCAGTCTATGTTATAAAATTCTAACTTCCGAAATTAACGTCTATACCGACTAGTCATTTTCTTACTTAAACCTTTTTATTTATTTTATAAGCTAGTTGAATGTATATTGCCGTTTAAAAAACAAAGTTGATCTCCTTATAAGACATAGGGCATAGGGCATAATGTAAAAATATACTTAATAAATGATAAATCGAGAGTTGTATGAAACTAAAAAATAATAAGAGAATTTTCTTTACATAATTATCATTGTAAGAGTTACTAATATTTAATTTGTATACTGGTAAATCATTAATATTCACTTTATTAATCATTCTGATAATGGTGTTAAAATATTTGTTCGCTTTTTCCCGCGCAATAATTGCGAAAACGAATGAACTTAGTAGACATACAATGGCATTATTCGCGCTCTGAGGTTTTGATAAGAGTGATAACTATACAGAAATATAACGATCGGTGAGTTTATGAGCTCCTACATTAGAGTTGATCGTTGCTGATAAATAAATTAAATTTTTTACATTAAAATGTAACAACTACATATTTATTGTTAAAATTAAATTTACTGTGCTATACTTTGAGAATTTTAAAGCTCTTTTTACAAAATGATAGTTATTTTTTAAAATATGGATCAAACAAAAAAACCAATTGAAGAACTTATAACGAGCTTCAGGTGATTATTTTTCTTATATTGAATACACGTTTAAAAGACTAATAAAATTTCAATTAATACATTACTCCAGATCTACTTCTACAGTTCAAGATATTATAGAAAAATTAGAAGGGTGGAACAGAAGTGATAAAAATACACCCCATATTTCAAGGGATGCGTTATTACAAAAAATCTTACCTCATTCTGAGAATCCTCATAAATTTAATGAAAAATTAAAAAAAATTGGGTGAATTATTATATTAAAATTATGTCAATCACAAACTCTGTAATAAAGATTAATTTTTAAATATTCATTTTTCAGTAATGTCAAACTTGCTAATAAGTTTATGCATTTGATTCAAGAAATAAGTGAAGATAAAAAGTTAACAGCTTTTTTAGAAAAAAGATATAGAGAATATGAACGTGATTTGCCTAATTCTGAAAACATACAGTCCTTGAAAGATCAAATTGAAGTAATTATCTAGTTTTATATAACAAATATTTGCCTGTAATTTCTAATTCAAAATATATTTACTCTTCAACAGATACGAAATGAATTTCAAAAACAACAACAAATTAAATTGAAAGAAAAAGAAATTTCAATGAAAACAAATACTAATCATGCATGTCCATTGTGGAAAAATATTAGAAAATATCAAGGATTAGATTACTTTGACATAGTGTCTACTAACACTGGTTATTTTTTTTTTAACATTGATTAGTCAATTGAATATTTATGTATTACTTGTATAATTAAAGAGCTCAGTACAACAACTAAGCAAGGTCGATTTTTTAGCAAATAACTTTTTGTTAGTTTTAAATAAATATAATTTTTCTGACTATTTTAACCATTATTATTAGTAGATAACAGTTTGGTAAATTATTTTTATTGGTAGACTTACCAGGTTGTTGTACTAGACCCTTCAATTGAGAGCAACTCTTTAATGAGTTTTTCGATATATAGTAGCTCATTTAAGTTTTTAATTCTACATCATTCATAAGCTAATCCAACTCATTTTCTGTTTTACTATTTCACTTTTTTTTTCAATGTATATATTCTTAACTTATCAAACTGAATTATCCTATCTTTAACAAGATTTAATTCTATCTATCTATTCTCTCAAATTTTATTTACTATTAACACCTCACACATATTACCTCATGTGTACTTATTTTTTATTGTGTTCCCTTTAATCACTCCACAAATCCATCTTAATATTTTCATTTCCTTATCACTTATTACTGCTATATTTTTGTATTGCTTAATATTTTTATCTAAAAGTCATTACTGTTTTATAAAATTGACATATAAGCTTGATTAGGATTTTTTAGTAATCCTAAGCACTTGATATTTTTCTCCAATATATCCATCTTCACATAATCGTTATTTTTTTCTCAATATCACTACAATTTCATTTTTACTCAATTTTATTATTATCCCATTAAAATCAAACACCCTATACCTAGTTTATTTCTACTTATCCTTTATTCTTTGAAGTATTGTATTCTTCTTTTTCTCTAAATTCTATTTTATCAGTGTATTATTAAAAAATAACATGCATCCGACAACATATGATGTTTTTAAAAATTGTTGGTATTGTAGAAATGTAATTAAATTTTGTTATAACCAATTTCTGTCTCTTAGACAACATAAAAATATGACAAATATCACTTAAATATGAGTAATAATTAATTTTGTTTATTTTCTTATAATGTTTTCAGATGTATCATCTATTGAACAAACATTTATTATTGAAGATATATTATGTTGTCTCCAAGGATTTCATGGTCAGTTTATCAAACCTTATAAACATGGTACAAGTATTAGCTTTAAAATCAATGCTTCTATAGGTTTGTAAATATATTGTTCATAATATTTTAACAAATTTATCACTGATAAAATTATTAATTGTGGTATGAATTAAGGACCAGAATATCAATGTTTGATACCAAAAATATTAAGATTAGCTTCAGCTTATGCTATTATTTGTCGTTATTGTGAAGAAAACCGGCAAGGTCACAATGGATATGTTAATCAAGCATTAGCATGTTATTTAGAAAAATTTATAAGAGATTACTTAGTAAGTAAATTTTAAATTGATATTTTTATAATCCTAAAGTTTAATAGTTGCTAAAAAAAAAAAAAACCCAAAATATTCAGTAGATTGAAAGTTATTAAATTTATCAAAACATGTGGAGTTCCCTGTATTTCTCTGACTATAGAAGATATTTAATGTTTAGACAATTATAGAACATTAACATGATGTAATTTTGGGATAAATTTGAAAATATATAATTTAGTAGATGTCTGAAATTCGTAATATTATTTTTGTTAAAATATTTTATTCTTTTGTTGTAAAAAATTCAAGAACTTTTCAATATATTTATTAAGTATGAATTCTATTAAATAAAGTCAATATTATGTTTTTTTATTATTAATTTGGAAAAAATTGTAAAATAATTTTTTTTATACTGTTTTTTAAATAATTCCACTTCATACTTTTAATACATGAAGTAAGATATATTTCAAGTATATTTCGACCAAAATTGTTTGTTGTCAAATTAAATGTCTTTTAATTTTCAATATCATATATCTTATATGATATATACAAAATATATTATAATCAAGCATTCAGAAATATTGGTTAAAAATTATGTTTTATAGAATTTATTATTTTTTATTTAGAATTATTTATTTTACCTTTAAAATCTCAATTTTCTTAATAAGGATAGTGAATAATTTGTTGCTTTTAAAGCTTAATGGTTATAAACCTCTAACAACATTGTTTTTAATGATACTCTATTAATTTTTACATACCAACTGCTAGCAAAACTAGCTTTAGCTAGTAAAGTTTAGTCAGTCAAACAATAGATTTAAGGGAAAACGTAAAATATGAAAAAAAAAATAAAACTACACTTATCATAAAATATTTGAATGAATCAATTTATAAAAGTATTTGGTACTAATAAAAATAATTTCTTTGTAGAATTTCATAATAACCTTAGAAAATCAACATAAAAATGGAGAACTAAGTTTGCAAATATTATTTTCTGCTGCAGAAAAACAAATATCAAAAATGGAATTCATATCTGACATCATATCTATTATAACAAAGGTTTTTTTACTAATCATTTTTTTTTAATTATATTTATATTTTGTTAATTGTAGGATAAAAAAAGAGGAGGTCAAACACTTTCTGTATTACATGAAAAAATGTTGGAATGTTGCGCTGATGAAGCACTGAAAAATCTTTTGGATGGAATGGCTCAAGTGTCAACTACTCCATTTTTTGATTCTCTTGAAAAGTGGATGTTGAAAGGACAAATATTTGATCCTTGTGATGAAGTACTAAAAATTTTTTTTTTTCTAAACAATATAAATTTATCTTAAATATCATTTACAGTTTATGATAAAATGTGGTAATCTTATATTAAGTGATGATACTGAGAAATATTGGAATAAATGTTACACAATAAGGCATGAGTATGTTCCAACTTATTTAGAAAAATATAAAGAAATAATTCTTAGAACAGGAAAATATTTAAATGCTATGCATAATTGTAGTAAGCTAAAATTAATTGTAAAACGTTTGTAAGCTTTTAAAATATAACCAATCTTTGTGTTTACAGAACATAATGAAAATTTTTATTTGTCTTATAAACCTGCTGATGATGAAAAATTGGTGTATTCACTATGGTGCTCATCCAATTATTTACAAATAATTAACAACTCATACATGTTTGCCAGTAGCACTTTATTAAACATGTTGTTAAATGATTATGATCTCATGAACAGACTGAAGTAAATATATTTTGTAGTAATAATAATAAAGGGACAAACTATATACTTCAATGGAAAATATTTTGATAATAAGTACTAAAATCACTGATTTACTAAACATTATAGATACAGTGTTTAAAAAAAATATCACTTATGATTACACATTCACATATTCACAAACATTAATGAATAATGTGTAATTTTCATTTATATTTTATGAAACATAAATTTTATTGTTCTAATTTTACCAAAAAAAAAATGTCAATATAAACAAGTTCAATTTTTAGTAAATGTTTCAAATACTTTGAATGTTATTCTACACTCTAATTCAGTTCCTCTCCAATTAGATGCTACCTGTAGCATATGTATATTTTAAATATCTAATAACATTTGATAAATATTATTTAATAAACATTTATTTAAGAATAACTCATAGTTATAATTTTTACAAATGATTTTTACTGAGTTTTATTTTCTAAAGGTTTACACATTATTAAGAAAAATTCTCAAATTTTTTTTATAAAGCAAACAAACAATTTACATAATAGTTTTTCTTAGTATATTAAAATTCAAATCTTTAGTTTATCTTTTTACATAATTTAATTTAATATTGTACACATAATTTTAAACAAGTGTAAAAACTTTAAATGTATAAATAAAAGATCAAATAATTATTTTTATGTTAATTTATATCTTTTTAGATCTATTAAACGGTATTTTCTTCTGGAACAAGGGGATTTTGTGGTTCATCTATTGGATGTTTGTGATGATGAATTAAAAAAACCTACAGATGATATTGTTTACAATAGATTAGAATCATTGTTAGATATATGTCTACGAGTCAATGTAGGATGCATTGATCAATATAAAGATGATATTAAAATGGACTTAAAAAAAGACCCTCTCAGTTTTCAAATTTTTAAAATTCTATCTATTCAAACTGATAAAGAAAAGGGTAAATTTTAGAAATAAAATAATTTTTAGTTCAATAAATTATAAAATAACTATTGTAATTATTTCATTAAATAAGTGTAACAAACGAAACTGCAATTTTTACAGTATCTCTTATCTTTATTTATTTAATTGTGCATCAATCAACATCGATTAGCAGACTGCTGATCACCATTTATTGACATCAATTTCACGGTGTGTGTTAACTTATCAGGTTGTGCTACATTACAAATGTACCATTACATAAGAAAAAATCAACTTACTGACACAATTTAGTTACCTCTATTATAAACGAGAAAATACATATAAATTTTTTTATCCTTATACTTGTAATTCAAATTTGATATTAAAAAACTATACACATTTTTCAAAGAATAATACACAATATATATATATATATCATTTTAAAACAGTAAAAATAACTTCTTGTAGTAAAATTTAACCTTCTGAATACATCACTATATAAATGGAATGTTCAGTAAGGATAAAGGTTTCTATTGTTTTCATTGTACATAACAATTAACCTGTTTTCTTATTTTTTGGATGCTATATTTATAGACGGTTCTTGTAAGAAAATAGTCAAATCAAAATTGGTAGTTTTTCAGAAGATCAAAAAAACAAAATATTTTTACAGGATAATGAATGGGACTTTTAAATTTTAAACTACAATTAAAAAATAACAACTACCTATGAAAATAACATTATTACTGCTAAACACAGTGAACATTTTTAAATAAAATTTAATGAAAAATAACATTCTATAGTATAAACTAAAATTCCTGTACTTAAAACATATTTTAAACTATTTAGCTAGACCTTGAAGTTAAAACTGTCATTAACAAAATTTTGTTTTTAGATATAATAAATAACCCACACACACTGTAAATATCTCGTAGAATTTAATATAAATTTTTGCTGATATATTTTACTACTATTTTTTGTTTATTATATTTCTCTTAAAAAAAAAAATTGATACGAAACATTTAAAAATTTTACTCTTCATATATATATATAAGCTTGATTGGATAGGCCTCCTATAATTCATATTTATTTTTAATTTAAATTTTATTTACAATGCTATTTGTATACTTGTGTATACACGATTATACTAAATTATTTTTTATTTTATTTAGATTATATCAATTTCCAACCATCTTCAAACTTATTAGGAATACAGTCATTTTGTTTGGGGTTATCTACTCAATGGCCTGTTTCATTAATATTTAATGAAACTGTTATATCAAATTATCAAATGTTATTTCGTTTACTGCTATTATGCAAAAATGTTGAACGACAACTTCTAAAGTAAATTATTATTGACTTAGGTAATTTATTGTTTTAATAATAGTATATAACCAATCAATTTTAATATTGTAGAGTGTGGCTTGTAGACAAAAAACTGAAAAAAGTATCTTCGTCATCTTTAACATACAAAAAAGCATTCAATCTCAGACAAAATATGTTATTATTTGTACAAAACCTTGAATATTATATGTTTGAAGAAGTTATTGAAACACAATGGCAATCGTTTACTTCTGCTATACAATTTAATGTATTTAATAATCTATTAAAAAAAAGATTGTAATTTTTTACTTAAGGTTTAACTGTCAATAGGTTAAAAATGTTGATGAACTATTAGATGAACAACAAAAATTTTTAAATTTATGTTTAAAAAACTGTATGGTGACAAATCCAAGTCTAATGAAAAGCAGTGGATATTTATTAGAGTTGTGCATGGAGTTTAGTGATTATATATTGGAGGTAATATTAATAGTATAATTTTGCCATATTTTTACTTAAATCGTTTAATAAAAAAGATTTTTAAATAAATATAAGTAACAAAATTTTTTACTTATTATTTATAGTAGTTTTAATATAAATTCTAAGTATTAAAACTATGTGCATTTATTTTGATTTTTAATTACTCAGAAAAAAAATTTTTATGCAATAAATGTTTATTTCAGCTTCCTAAAAGTAATAGCAGTTCAACCTTAGATTTTCAAAAAAACATACAAATTTTGGAAAACAAATTTACAGCTGCAATGATTGATCTTTTAAAATGTATTAGAATTATGGGTCAAATGAATAGTGGGAATATTATATGCAACTTTTTGTACAGGTAAATACTGGCTAGTTGTTTTAAACTTAAGCTTATTTTTTTTTCATATTAAATAAAATACATAAATTTGCTGAGAATTGATATTTATTATTTTATTATAATTCAGTTAATATTACCAAATATATATATATTTCATTTATTNATATTTATTATTTTATTATAATTCAGTTAATATTACCAAATATGTATATATATATTTAATTTATTTTTTATAAGTAAATAGGAACTCATGATAATACTAATTGATTAATTATACAAGCCTTAATATGTTTTTTTTTTTAATGAAATATTAATGTAAAAATATTCTTAATTTCTGATAAATTAATCTATTTAATTACCATTAACATAGAGTAACTTTGAATTTATTGTCATTAAAAGATTTAACGAAAGCTACATTTTATTTATGTTTTGACTGTAATATTGGCTATTAGTTAATAATTTTTTGAAACTTATTACACCGAATGAGTGAAAAAATTATTATTTTTTTTTCTGTCATATGTAATAGTTAAATTAGCAGAAGTATATCACAAGACTTTTTACTGTTAAATTCATCATTTAATTGACAAATAGCATATTTCAAACAATAAATTCAATTTTTTCAAAATTATATTTTTGTCATTTTGATTCCATGAACTCTGGATTTTCTTTATATTCATATAAATCTACTGTAATATTCTACATATAGGTTATAATCAATGGCGTGTTTTGGAGAGTAAATGGCTTTACCCACTAACAATTTTTTGAATTAATATNTTTTTGTCATTTTGATTCCATAAACTCTGGATTTTCTTTATTTTCATATAAATCTACTGTAATAGTCTACATATAGGTTATAATCAATGGCGTGTTTTGGAGAGTATATTTACCCACTAACAATTTTTTGAATTAATATATACCCTAAAAAAATAATACTTATGTACTATATGAAGGGTATATGCTTACAATCGGTGTATACCATAAAACAAAAAAGGATAATTTGCAAAACCAACACTGTTAATAATAATTTCTGTTGATCTTAACTTCATTATTATGAACTATTTCTTATTTAATATTCCATTTTGCTTATTTTGGCAAAAATTAATATACTTCAATAATATTTTTACCTTTACATTAACATTTTACTTAATAAATAAACATTTATTATAAAAATAATGATAGTAAATAAATTTTTTCAGAATGGATTTTAATGGAATGTATACTGAACAAATAAAACTGGATGATTCTTCATTTTTTACGTAAAAAATATATTTTATAAACAAAATATGTACATAATACTTTACAACTAATTTACAAGATGTAAAATAATTTAAATTTGTTTTGAGCTGAGCCCATTAATAATAATACTACTAGGTTATTGTAATACTAATTATAAAAATAACAACAAATATATAATTATTCTACATTAATAAATGGAAGATTATTGATAATATTACCAAACATCCTTATAACAGTCTTTGCAAAATATTACATCAAGCTCTTCAAATTAAGCAATTTTAAAAATTCATAATATGTTATAAAATTTGAGCTGCGCTTTTTTATATTAAACAAGAATGTACATCATTCTAGTTAAGATGTATTCAGTTATTTGAGTCTAAAAAATATATAACAGATTATTATTTTTATTATATTAATTCTATAAATAGTGTTCAGTAAGTAAGAAAACGGATTTCTATTGTTCTCATTGTTTATAAAAATTTAACTGTTTCCTTACTCTCTGAACACTGTATAAGTAATAGATTCTTTTTTCCTTAATATTATTACATTATCTTTGTCACTATTGTGTAGAATATTTTGATGAGAGGCATAACGTAGTAACACATCAAATCTTAACATTGTTATTTGAAGTTTATTTTATTATTCTAGAATTTAAACTGTAGTTCATGTTGAACTACAGTTCATGACTACTACACAACATTGATTCCCAATAATATAAAAAATAAGAGCCCTTTAACTTACTACTATATGATATTGAACTATGACTTAAATCAGTTTTTGGTTTCGTATTTAATGATGAATAAAATTGTTGATGTAAGTGCTTCTGAAATACAAAAATACCAATTAAATTTTGGCTTTATATAAATTTATTATAAAAATTACATCAGGAGTTCGGGAACTATTCGGTAATATACCATAATGATCAACTTCTTGTTTTCTAAATTAAAAAAGTATTATTAATGTGTGTTGTTTAACATGTGTATTACAATGTAATAAATTTATATTACTGATAGTTTTCTGAAGCTAAAAGAGAATTGGGTTCTTCAGTTTTTACCATATGCTTGAAGAATTCATCTTGAAATCCAAAACTCATTTTTGGAATACCAATTGAAGTTAATTTTGAAGAATCATATGATTTTGACATACCACTACTTGACTGTATAAAAAAATAAATACATTTAATAAAAACATCAGTATTAAAATATATAATATTATTTTAAAAATTTTACTGTATTATAAGAATTCCTAAATGCTGGATGATTTATAACCCCTAACGATGTATTGACTACAGTATCAAAAGGATTTTTTATTGAGTACATTGACATGGAAGATGTTTGTTTCTTATATGCATCTTTTTCTTTAGAGTTTCGTGACGAACATGAAGAACTTGATGACAATTGGTTAAGAACTAATAAATCTTTGATAACTTCTTGAGCTTCTTTTTCAGCCAACTCAATACTAGAAGCACGATTGTTATTAAATGTAGCTTTAGTTGGACACTGATCGCTATGTGATTGCTCCTTATATTCTACTTTTAACTCCTGATTTTTAATTGTTATGGGTGCTGTAGGACTTTCTTTCTGTAAATGAAATAATACAAACGAGTTAACTCGAGTTTAAAATATTGAATATTAATATCATACAGGTTTAAAGAATGTTGTTAATTGTGATTGTAATGGTGTTGTATTATCCATTAAGGAGTCATTTATAATTTGACTCAATAAATCTTTAGCTGTTGGCTTATCATCAATTTGAGAATTTTCAGCCTTTGATAAAGATGATGTTTTATTCTCCTTTGAAACATATTATTTGTAATATATTTATTAAATTATAAAATGCAAATAAGGAATAATTATCATGCAATTCCAGAAAGTTATGTAAACTAACTTTTTTTATTGTACTATGAAGTTCTATTGGAGAGTTATTATGTGAAACTCTCTGTTGGTCTGTTAACAAAGGACTATTTAACTCTTGAAGCAATCTTTGTTTACGTGAAATAGGTTGATTAATAACATTTGAAGATAGTTGTTTTTGACTGTTTTGAGTGTCCTAAAAATTGTTCATTGTACTAATAATCATTTTAGTTTAAAACTAATTATCATAAAAGTCAGACACAAAAAGGAAATCACTCGCACATCATTTTAAGTCATGCAATTAAAGAATGTCAAATAATTGAGAAAATCATAAGCAAAAGATTACTTTAATATATATGAAAAATAACGTTTCATCACAGTATAGTTAATATCTAAAATTTAATAAGGGAATAAATTTTTGCCTAATATTAAATTAAAAATTAAATAATTCATTTTTGATTTATTTTATGCTACATAGGTGTATTCTAAANTTAAAAATTAAATAATTAATTTTTGATTTATTTTATGCTACATAAGTGTATTCTAAAAATAGCTTAAAAAGAAATTACCCGTTAAATAAGGTTTGTATTATAAGACTATTTTCGGTAAAAATCTATTATCTATACATTTCAGTACTAAATGTGCTTATTATGTAAAATTTAGTGACAAGTACATATTTTGCTTTCTTTTATTATTGTTAATTTTATTTAACTAAATTGTTGAATTCCGACGTTAATTCGGTATGATTATAATTTTAACAGGCGAAATTTTATATACTTCAATATAATTTTTTTTTAATTTAAGGTAACCATTTTCTAAAATTGTTCGTAAATTGAAGTTGTTGAATTAATGACCAATTCTGACGAATACCATATAGTATTCTATGTATGTTTATAATCAGTGTTAGATAAGTAAGAAATCAATTCGATTATTTATAACTAATAGTAGAATAATAATATCTCGATTTTTATTTAACATGAGGTCCCTTGTGTATCACGTTTAAATATTTTATTAAGGGGATGCATTTCCTTAATGTCAGGGTAAGTACGCGACCAAAAAAATATTAAATAGTATTTCTCTCTTATTTATTCCTCAATTATTAAAACACAATGTGTGGCGATTATTTCATTATTTAGTTGTCTTTTTTTACTTCCAAACTAAGGAAGAACCTATCGAAATTTGCATAATATTTGTAAGTTTCTTTACAATTATATGAATAACTGAATAATTAAGTATCATATGTCAAATCCAATTATATCATTATGTTCAAATCATTAAATTATTACATCATTGCATCATAATACAAGTCTATTAGTTTTTTTTTTTCAAACTCGCAAAAAACAATACTATAAAGACCAATAAAAATTCCAAATATCTCAAATTTTTGAGCTTTTCGTATTACTATAAAATTTGCATTTTTACAATATTTTAAATGCAATTAACATTTTATTGAATTTTTTTTTTTCAATAATTATTGCCTTCATAGAATGTGTTCAAAGCATATATTTTATTATATAAACAAAAAAAAAAAAAACCCAGCACAGTGGGGTCGTGGCATAGTTGGGTCCAGTATAGATGATATCTGACAGTGATTAAAATCACTATCATAAAAAACGATTCGATGCAAATCTGTAGATAGTGTTAAATTAAAAAAAAAAATTTTGTTAATATAGCATATTTTTGAATATGGTAGCCATTTGCGCATAGAAGATAGGTCGTCGGGACAATTTTTTTTTTCATTTTATAGTACATAAAATAAGCTTTAATTTGATATATGTTTAAAAGACGCAGTATTTCCAGAACATTTTCAAAAATTAAGTTGAAAAGTTATTTTTTGTAAAAAAGTAACTATTTTAAATCCCCCCCAGTGAGCAGAATAAGTGTTAGATTTTCAAAAAAAATTATATCAAATGAAAGGGAAATATCTAAGGTTTCAATACAAAAAAATATTATTTTTATTTGTTCATTTTTGAAAAAGTTATGGCAGTTTTAAGCACAAAGAACATCCCGATAAAAGGTAATTTTTATCGCAAACATTACATTTTTTTTTAATTTTCGACAGGCATTTGCACATAGAAGATAAGATGACGGGACAAATTTTTTTTTTCATTTGATAGTATATAACATAACCTTTGATTTAATGTATGTTTAAAGGACGCAGTATTTCTGGAACATTTTCAAAAGTTCAGTTCAAAAAGATCTATGTTTTTTACAATATTTCAAGTANTTTTCTAAAATTGTTCGTAAATTGAAGTTGTTGAATTAATGACCAATTCTGACGAATACTATATAGTATTCTATGTATGTTTATAATCAGTGTTAGATAAGTAAGAAATCAATTCGATTATTTATAACTAATAGTAGAATAATAATATCTCGATTTTTATTTAACATGAGGTCCCTTGTGTATCACGTTTAAATATTTTATTAAGGGGATGCATTTCCTTAATGTCAGGGTAAGTACGCGATCAAAAAAAATATTAAACAGTATTTCTCTTATTTATTCCTCAATTATTAAAACACAATATGTGGCGATTATTTCATTATTTAGTTGTCTTTTTTTACTTCCAAACTAAGGAAGAACCTATCGAAATTTGCAAAATATTTGTAACTTTCTTTACAATTATATGAATAACTGAATAACTAAGTGTCATATGCCAAATCCAATTATATCATTATGTTCAAATCATTAAATTATTACATCATTGCATCATAATACAAGTCTATTAGTTTTTTATTCAAACTCGAAAAAAACAATACTATAAAGACCAATAAAAATTCCAACTGTCTCAAATTTTTGAGCTTTTCATATTACTATAAAATTTGCATTTTTACAATATTTTAAATGCAATTAACATTTTATTGAATTTATTTTTTTTCAATAATTATTGCCTTCATAGAATGTGTTCAAAGCATATATTTTATTATATATACAAAAAAAATAATTCCTATTATACTAATAAAAAAATATATAATTTAAAAAAATTCCATAAACACTTATTGTTTTAAATTGCTTTGTAATTCAACGAATACATATCCTAAAATATACTTTTACAAAATTTGCTTTGAGGACGTAGTCTCTAAGGCAATAATTATTAAAAAAAAAAAAATGTTCATAAAATCATAATTGTATTTAAAATGACAAGCATTGTCCGTTAGGTCTAAGACATTCACCTTATATAAGACCAACTATTTGCAAGGGCCGATAGTAAACAAAATTTTCCTAACTATAAATTTATACATAAATATAAATTTTTACAAAGAAAATACTAAGATTCTCCATTAAATTAACTCATAAAAATGTATTAAAATTAATTATTGTAAAAAATGATTAATAATTTC